GAAAAGACAGTGGAATGTGTTTTAAACGATGGAAGAGGGATGCGGGAAATGATGAAAAGGACGTTATGGCGTGCTAAAAGGCGAGGAAGGAAGGTTGAGAAGGTGATAGAATTTTGTGGCAGAGGAGAGGGAGGACAATCTAAGTAATCTGCGTTTTAGAATAAATATCATGGAATATCTTATATAAGATTAAATAAATATATAATTATACTTTAAATATATTAAAAATAATTTAAGAAATACGACATTAATCATGAATTAATAATACCAACATATTTGTTGACAGTCTCGATAACCTTTAATTATTCTATCAGATTTGACATCCCAGTAGATGCAAGTTGCCTGCATTGAGTTGGAGACATGTTTGTCATAGTTATTGGTTTTGGCGTATTAAACTTTTGAAGGCTCCTTCCATATGGTTGCTGCAACATCTTCGTACACATTTATTTTTAGCAAATCTTTATTGTCTTAGTAAAGTCTGATACAGCCTTTTATTGTTTATTTTCGGAACGCCAAAAAGTGACAAAAACAAATCAAAAAGGGATGATGATAACCTGCGTCTTGCAGATTAACATTTTCATAGAAACATATATATATACATATTTATTGCTAGCTATATATCACCATCTTCTCTCTTCAAACACGAAATCTCACAGGCGGTCTCCTCGCTCGAGGTGGGTTCCGCCTTAGGACAGGACCCTCCTCTTTCAAGGCCTCGGGGTCCAGCGAGCGAAGAGGCTCCAATGACTTTCCATCGTCTGTATCACTCTGAACCTCTGAATCTTGATCCGACCGCTGGCTAGTTAGTCCTGGCGACAGCGACTCCATATAACCTCTGTCTCGTACAACCTCCGAGATTATGGCACTGGGACCTGCTCCTCTTGAGTGCTCGGGTTGACGCTCTCCATCTCCACTCTCATCTTCCTCACCATTCCTCCACCTTTTTCTAATTTGATCCCTGTGATAGGCCTTTACCTGTCCGTGGATCAAAATGGTGTAGACTCTAGTTCCCTTCTTGCCCACAATTTTTCCTGGGATCCATTTATCACCACCTCTAAAGTTTTTACACCACACTAAATCATCTATCTGGAATTCTTCCAAATGGGTTCGCCGATCATACTTCATTTGTCTGGCTTGCTGGTCCCTAACTCTAGATGCCAAGCTGGGATGTATCAACGATACTCTGGTTCGAAGCGCACGCCCAATAAAGAGCTCTGATGGAGTCTTTCCCGTTGTCACATGCGGGGTGCTTCGATATGCCAGAAGAACTTTTGATAAGGTGTCTTGAATGGTATCCCCAATTTTCCTTTTATTTTTATCCAGGGCAGTCTTAATTGTTCTAACCGCTCTTTCAGCCAAGCCATTACTTTGCGGGTGGTACGCCGGGATCAATGTTTGTTTAATTCCATTTCCTTCCAGAAAACCTTTCATTTCACTACCAGTAAACTGAGGTCCATTATCAGATACAAGTTCCTCCGGTAGACCATAGGAAGAAAAAAGTCGCCGTAGTTGCTCAATGGTTTTGCGTGTGGTGGTCTCTCTCATTGGGATGGCTTCGATCCACTTTGAATGACTATCTACTACTATTAATAAATTAATGTTTTCCTTATTTGCAAAATCAATGTGAATTCTTTGCCAAGGTCTGGTTGACCATTTCCAGGGTTGCCATTTTCCTTTATTTGGCCCATCCTGGGATTGCTGACAGCTTCTGCACTTATTTACCAAAAACTCGATTTGGGTATCTAGATTTGGCCACCAAAAATGTGATCTTGCTACAGCCTTCATTTTGTTCATACCGGAATGAGTCTCATGAAGACAGTTCAACATTTTTATTCTGAGAGATGGTGGAATGACAACTCTCATTCCCCAAACCAAACACTCCCCATCTACAGTTAGCTCAAGTTTCCTTTGAAAATAAGGTCTGAGGTGATCAGCCACCTTTTCAGGCCAGCCTTGCTGAGTATAAAATTTGGCCAATGAGAGCACTTCGTCTTTTTCAGTTTCCGTGGCAATTTCCTCTGCTGTGATCGGCAATTCTTCCACATAGGATAAAGCATAGACATTATTTAATCTTGGAATTTCTTCACAGCCCACAGGAAAACGTGACAGAAGATCTGCATTCCCATGGTCTTGAGTTCTTCGAAATTTAATATCGTAAGTATAAGCTGACAAAATAAGCGCCCAACGCTGCAATCTTGAAGTAGATAAGGTGGGGATTCCTGATCTTGAGCCCAAAATGGTCACCAATGGCTTATGGTCTGTAATAAGAATAAATTTTCTTCCATAAATAAATTGATGAAACTTGGTAACTCCATAAATAATGGCTAGAGCCTCCTTCTCAATCTGAGAATAATTTTGTTCTGCTACCGATAAAGTCCGTGAGGCAAACATAATCGGTCTCTCCTGGCCTTCTATAATATGTGACAACACAGCGCCCACTCCAATCTGCGATGCATCAGTGGCCAAACACAATGGCAAAGTCGCATCATAAGGGACTAGCACCCTCTCAGAGGTAATGCTATTCTTGCACTTGTCAATGGCCTCTCCACATTCCTTTGTCCAAACCCAAGGACGTTTTTTGTGAAGAAGCTCATGAAGAGGCTTCAAAAGCTCTGGCAAATTGGGTATGAACTTCCCATAAAAGTTTACCAAACCAAGAAATGACCTTAATTCAGAGATATTCGTAGGCGTTTTGGCCTTCTGTATTGCTTGTACCTTATGATCTAAAGGTCTGATGCCCTCTTCCGTGACAAGATGTCCTAAATATTCTATTTCTTTTTGCAAAAATAGGCATTTTTCTTTCTTTAGTTTGATATTATACTTCGCCAAGCGAGCAAATATAGTCTTCAACAATGCCAGATGTTCTTCAATTGATGCTGTGGCTATAAGGACATCATCAATATAACAAATTACGCCTCCTATACCTGACAAAACCCTATCCATTACAGATTGAAAATAACTGGGCGCATTTGCCAATCCAAATGGCATTCTCTTAAACCTGAAAAGCCCTTTATGAGTATTTATCGTTAGTAACGGTCGGGTGCCTGGGTCCACCTCTAATTGCAGATAAGCGTTCCTCAAGTCCAATTTAGAAAAGTATTTTCCCTTGGCCAATGTGGAGAATAAATCTTGCTGTGTGGGAAGGGGATAGGCCGCAGTGTCCAAATATTTATTTAGAGTTACCTTGAAGTCGCAGCAAATTCTGATCTCTTTATTTTTCTTCGGCACTACAACCACTGGAGTGGCCCATTTACTGCTCGCCACCTCACATAGATAACCCTTAGCCACCATTTTGTCTAATGCTTCAGTAACTGCTGGCCTAATGGCGAAAGGCACCGGACGAGCCTTATGGAAAATTGGATTCACATCACACATGTTTACTGAAAATGTGAAACCTTTTATTGGTTCGGTTGTCTCCACAAATAGGGCTTGATTTTCCTTCAAAATTTCCTCAATGGTAATTTCCACAGGCATATGTTTTACCGCGAAACAGCCCAATTTCAATCTATTTATCCATTCTCTTCCCATCAAAGCCCTCTTTTCTCCTTTCACCACCAACGCTCTAAGTTTGTAAGTAATATCTTGACACTCCACTTTGACATTGATTTTACCCAGAATGGGTACCACGGTACCATCATAAGTTCTTACAATAATACTCGCTTTTTCCAATTTCAAGTGTTGAAGACTATTTTTAAAATCCTTTTCTGATATCAGTGTTAGACCACTACCCGTATCCATTTCAAATTTAATAAAGTTTCCTTCTACTTTTAACTCCATCAGATAGGGAGGGTCACTTGAGGCAAAATTAATTTTATACTCAGGTATCGTCACGCTTATAATTTTCTGGACATACTCTTCCTCCTCTTCTTGGTCTCCTATCTGATGTATATTTCCCGGCTGATTCTGATGTTGCCTTAGATTTCTTCTACTGCTCCAACATATTGAGGCAATGTGTCCTTTTTTATTACACTTAAAGCATATCGCCTCCTTAAATCTACATAGTTCTTTATGCTGTTTACCACAATGTTTACATTTGCCATTCTGGAAATTTGACTCAACCTTGCGTTCCATCCTCAACTTATCTACACAATCTTCACCCTGCTCCAAGTGAAATAATTTTGTATTTTTCTCGGCCGCTTCCATAGATAATGCTATCTCAATTACCTTAGCCAAAGAAATGTCGCCCTCCGACAAAATTCTATTTTGTATTTTGGCATTATATAATCCACAAACCATTTTATCACGTAAAGAATCCTCCAGAAAATTTCCAAAGTTGCATGAGGAAGCCAAACGCTTAATTTCCACCAAGTAATCTGAGATGCTTTCTTCCTTTAATTGCATTCTTTAAAAAAAAATGAACCTCTCTACTACAATTGAGCGCTTTGGAGAGAAGTGCCTTTTCAAGATATCTATTAGGTTATCAAAAGTTTTATCTTTAGGTAGAATAGGACTGCACAAATTCTTCAAAACACCATATGTTTTACTTCCCATGAGGGTTAGGAGATAAGCCTTTTTCTTCTCATCCCCTGCCTCCTCCAATATGAGAAACTGTTCCAATCGTTCATAAAACGTTTCAAAAGTTTCAGTTTCCTCATTATATTCCTTAAATTGGTAACTAGCCATTTTTTTTTCACTCTTCTTAAATTTGCATCCTAAAACTTTGCAATTTGTGTCTTTTAAAAATTACTTTCAATTATATGCAAAATCAAAGACATTTTCTAAAAATATTTACTTCAAAATTCGAGGGTACTTACTCTTATATCCTCGTCGCCAAATGCAACATCTTCGTACACATTTATTTTTAGCAAATCTTTATTGTCTTAGTAAAGTCTGATACAGCCTTTTATTGTTTATTTTCGGAACGCCAAAAAGTGACAAAAACAAATCAAAAAGGGATGATGATAACCTGCGTCTTGCAGATTAACATTTTCATAGAAACATATATATATACATATTTATTGCTAGCTATATATCAGTTGCCTGTGGGGGGGTAGCTCCTGGCGCGGGATCTCGTTTATGAGTAGAATATCTTGAATTTGAGAATATGTTTTAGGCTGTTGAAAATTGGAATAGTTTTCATACATCCACATATGGTTCTCTACGTTTGGAGTACCATATTTTTTTTTTTACCACTCGGATTTTCTTATAGAATCTTTATTCACTCAACAGTGTGATGATAGCGAAGACGCGATGTTTGCGTTCACATCACATGGATTTCTTTTATAGAACCTTCAATTTTCACAACGCAATGCTTGCGTTCACACCACTCGGGTCTCTTCTGTAGAAACTTCATTTTCACAACGCGATGTTGGCGTTCACATCATTCGGGTTTCTTTTGTAGAATCCTCATTTTTCACGACGCGATGCTTGCGTTCACACCACTCGGGTCTCTTCTGTAGAAACTTCATTTTCACAACGCGATGTTGGCGTTCACATCATTCGGGTTTCTTTTGTAGAATCCTCATTTTTCACGACGCGATGCTTGCGTTCACACCACTCGGGTTTCTTCTGTAGAAACTTCAATTTTCACGACGCGATGCTTGCGTTCACACCACTCGGGTTTCCTTTGTAGGATCTTCAATTCCACGACGCGATGTTTGCGTTCACATCATCCAGGTTTCTTTTGTAGAATCCTCATTTTCACGACGCGATGCTTGTGTTCACACTACCACATGTTGAACATTACTTGACTCCTTTTTCTTACTAAACTTGACAAATTCCTCATATTCGTCCAGGCGTTCAGTAGGCTTGTTCATGGTGAACTTACCTGTTTTTTTTTTTTTTTCTGGTTACCAATAACCTCCGAGACAGTCTAATGTGATGATGTTGATTGTCCCTGGATAGTTAGCTGGGGGTTTCGTCGTATTAACGTCCCTGTTGTCAGTTAGGTTACCTGCATTGAGTTGAGGATATCTTTGTCATAGTTATTGGTGTATTAAGCTTTTGAAGGTTCCTTCCATATGATCGCCTGTGGAAACACAATGTTTACACTCACACCATCCAGGTTTCTTTTATAGAACCTTCAATTTTCACAACGCGATGCTTGCGTTCACACCACTCGGGTTTCCTTTGTAGGATCTTCAATTTTCACGACGCGATGTTTGCGTTCACATCATCCAGGTTTCTTTTATAGAATCTTCATTTTCACAACGCGATGTTGGCGTTCACATCATTCGGGTTTCTTTTGTAGAATCCTCATTTCACGACGCGATGCTTGCGTTCACACCACTCGGGTTTCTTCTGTAGAAACTTCAATTTTCACGACGCGATGCTTGCGTTCACACCACTCAGGTTTCCTTTGTAGGATCTTCAATTCCACGACGCGATGTTTGCGTTCACGTCATCCAGGTTTCTTTTGTAGAATCCTCATTTCACGACGCGATGCTTGCGTTCACACCATTCGGGTTTCTTTTGTAGAATCCTCATTTTTCACGACGCGATGCTTGCGTTCACACCACTCGGGTTTCTTCTGTAGAAACTTCATTTTCACAACGCGATGTTGGCGTTCACATCATTCGGGTTTCTTTTGTAGAATCCTCAATTTTCACGACGCGATGCTTGCGTTCACACCACTCGGGTTTCTTCTGTAGAAACTTCATTTTCACGACGCGACGCTTGCGTTCACACTACTCGGGTTTCTTTTGTAGAAACTTCAATTTTCACGACGCGATGCTTGCGTTCACATTATTCGGGTTTCTTTTGTAGGATCTTCAATTTTCACGACGCAATGTTTGTGTTCACACCGCATATACATACATGTATGGTTCTTATGTTATTGAATACCAGTCTCCTTTTGAAACGTGAATCCCATAGTGTATAAGAACATGATTAAGAAAGGCTTCCCCCCTTCCTTCTGTTTAGTATTCCTTACTTCACCCGCCTCTATGGGTCCTGACACTAACGCTGCAATCAGGGCGAAAGGCTAACATTTAGTTCCTGTAGATCCGACAACTGAGAACCATGCCTGCTGATAAAGAGAATTCCGCAGCGAGCCAAGCCCAGCTGCCCTCCATGCTGTACAACCTGGAGAAATTTGAAGGGAAGGGTCTAGTCCCCTTCACGAAATTCATAAAAGATTTTGAACTTGTCTACGACCTAAGGACCCTGGACGACGCCAGGAAAAGAATCCTCCTAGACAACCACCTCCGGGGGGCTGCGAGGGAGTTTGCCCTACAGTCCCAACAAATCCGCCTCGGATACGAAGAGCTGAAGGAGAGTCTAGAAGGGCGGTTCCGAAAGAGGGTTTCTACAAGGGAAATGAGGAGCCAGTTCTTCTCATGTAGACAAGGAGCCGGGGAGAAAGTACGGGACTTCGCCGCACGAGTGAGCGACCTTGCAGCGGGAGCAGAGTCGGATGGCCTGAAGATAGGTAGCTCAGAGGTCGCAGAGGTTTTCATCGACGGGCTCTGTCCCAGCCTGTGGGAAAAGGCTCATCTATACCAAGGCGAACCCTGGGAGACCCTAGTTACCAAACTACAGTGGCTGGAACAGAGACAGGAGGACTACAGGGAGGCGCAACGCTCCAGCATCGACAGGAACGGCCAGAGGCTGGGTGACATGGGCAACAAATTGGCCGAGCTGGAGAAGAAAATGGAGGCACTGGAAATCGAGAATGCAGCCCTTAGGAGACAAAGAGGGAGTACCAATAGAACAAATAACGGAGGAGGAAGGTGGCCCCCACACCCCGCAGAAAGAAGGGATTACGGAGATATCACCGAGGGTAACAGGAGGGGGGCTCCCTTCAGGGACTGGCAAAGGAGACCTACACAACAACCATCCAGGCAACAGCAGAACCCGCCTCCACCCAGACAAGAAAGGAGACATCCTAATGGTGAAAAGGAGGAGAACCCTGGAGTGGAATATAAGAATCAGGATGTAAGGAGGCCACCACCTAAATGTTACAGGTGCGGTGAACCAGGACACCTCATCAGGGATTGCCAGCAGACACAGAGAAAAAACTAGGTCCGGCTTGCCTCAAGGCAGGAGGGGGGTTTGCGGCCAGTTTGCCTGCCATAAATGTACATATACTAAATAAAGGGAGGTCTCTGAGTGAGAGAACTCTAAGATTTATTATAGACTCGGGCTCAGAGGCCAATATTGTAAATATAGATAATTTAAATTTATGCACTGAGGGGTTAAACAGGCCAACTTACCTTAAGGGTATAACAGGGAATTCTTTAAAGTCATTAGGGAGTGAAGTATTAGAGGTAGGGGCAATGGTAAACGGTAAGCCCATCAGGGAGGTAAGGACGACTTTTGAGTATTGCCACATGGGAGAAATAGGTCTTGATGGCATACTCGGACTACCGGGTTTCCGAGCCCTAAAGCTGCACCTCAGCTACGACGGTAGTATTAGGTCCGATTATGAAAGGAAGGAAGGTCCGACCAAGTCGGCCTTTCATTCCTCATTGCAGACGATAGAATTGTCTCCTCAGCCACCCAGGATACCCTTAAACGAGATCCACACCGGCGAAGATATTTTCAAGGCTTTCAGCCATTGTTTTTGTAGGGACATAAGGGATATGGGTAATGGTTCCACCATCACAGCCCCTAAACTGAGAATGCTGACTAGCAAGCCAGTATATAGGAGGCAATATCCGATCCCGAATAGGTTAGTCTCAAAGGTGAAAACGTTAGTAGACGAACTGGAAGAAGTAGGGATAATAGAAGGGAGTACCTCTCTGTGGAATTCCCCTCTATTCCCGGCTGCCAAAACTGATAGTAGTGTTCGCATCACCATGGATCTACGTATGATCAATGAGGCAACTGAATTCTTCCCGTTCCCGATACCCCGTGTTAAAGACAATCTACGCGCATTTGCGGGTGCAAAAGTCTTCAGCACATTAGATCTGACTTCTGGATTCTTCCAGATTCACATCCCGGAGAGTGACAGAGATTATTTTACCTTCTCTCTGCCCTGGGGGAGATACCGCTTCACGCGTTTGCCACAAGGAGCTAAGAACTCAGCACAAGTATTCCAGTGGGCCATGAACTTGGTCCTAGGTGACTTGTTGTTCAAATGCGTTCGCCTGTACATCGATGACGTCATTGTCTACAGCGACTCTCACGAGCAGCATGTAGCGGACCTCGCCGCTGTACTCGAACGTCTGAGTAGGTTCGGTTTGAAGGCCAAATACGGGAAGAGCTATCTCTTCAGGGACTCAGTAGAGTACCTGGGTCATGTAATCGACCAGAATGGGATCAGACCCATGTGGGATAATGTCGCCGCTCTCAGGGATTTGAAAAGACCTCATAACATCAAGGCAGTCAGAAGTCTATTGGGTACAGTCAACTACTACCGACGCTTTATTCCCAACGCAGGTGAGATCCTGGCTCCACTGAGCAACCTATTAAGGAAGGGACATAGATTTGCTTGGGGTACGATAGAGCAGTCAGCCTTTGAGACGGTGAAGGGAATATTAACCAGCGAGCCACTACTAATCCACCCAACAATTGGGATACCTTTCATCCTGAATACTGACGCCAGTGGGGTAGCAGTAGGCGCTTGCCTCCAACAGGAGGTCAATGGGACAGTAAGGCCAATTGCCTATTATAGCAAGAGACTGACTGGTCCTGAGATCCGCTATTCTACAATAGAAAAAGAGGCCTATGCAGTAGTGTTGTCCCTACAACACTTTAAACACCTCCTGGCGGGCAGTAGGGTAGAAGTACACACTGACCATAAACCGATTACTTATAATAAGGGGTCTGATTATAAGAACGCCCGACTGTCTAGGTGGGCAGAGATCATCCAAGACTTCAACGTTACATTCATTTATGTCCCGGGGAAGGAAAACACGATAGCCGACTTCCTTAGTAGGTTCCCGTGCGAGGATGATCCAAACCTGCCACAAGATAGGAGGGTGGTGGCCGCAGTGGTAAGAGACCGTCGGCCCCCCTTATTAGATAGTAATCAGATGTGGGAAGGCTTGCTTCAAGAGAAAGGATGGGCCCCAGTAATAAATAGGTTATTGAAACAAAAATCGGGAAGTATAGAAAGATATAATAGCCGAGAGTACAGGCTACAAGACAAATACCTCGTTACAAAGAATGAGAAGGGTACCTGGGTGAAGGTGGTTCCTACAGGTTTTAGGGAAACAGTGATCAGTTATCATCATGACATCCCTACTGGATGTCATTTCGGAGTTAGAAAGGTTATGAGAAGGCTGAAGGGCGACTATTACTGGCCTGGTATGAGGACTCAAGTCCGGAAATATATACGCAGATGCGGGAGCTGTCAGCTATCGAATCAAGGCGTAACCAAAGCCACTAATGCTCCTCACTTTAGACCCGAAAAACCCTTTGAGCACCTAGCTCTGGACTTCATAGGACCATTAGAAGTAACCCCAAGAGGTTATTCGAGTATTCTGACCATTGTGGATCTATTTACTAAGTTCCCAATTCTGATTCCTACTAAGGACCAGTGTGCCAATACAGTGGTTAGGGCCTTGTTGGAAAGGATAATCACTACCTTTGGAGTACCAAAAACGATACTCTCTGACCGAGGTTCGGCATTCATGAGTTGCGTATTTAAGGGAGTTTGCAAGGCTATGGGGGTTGGAGCGGTAAACACCACAGCCTGGAGACCTCAGAGTAATGGCGCCGTAGAAAGGCTCAATAGGACGGTAATAGAATCTCTACGCAGGTGTACAGCGGGGAACAATTGGGCTACCACCTTGCCAATGGTAGCCTTAGCTATCAGGACCACTGTACACTCTGGTACTGGATTTACTCCAGCGAAACTGGTCTTCGGGCATGAGCTGAGGCTTCCACAACCTTTCCAGGAAGAGGAGCTTAATCCTGTATGCGAAGATTCAATTACCAAAATGGCGGCCTTCTATGAGCGGGAATTGGTGGAGGAGGTTGAAAAGGCGAGAGAGGTGGTGAGGCAAACTTACCTGAAGGAGCAACAAGAAGCCAGGGCTGAGTTTGAAGCTAGAGGGTTAAGGACCTTTGAGACAGGGGATCTAGCTTTGGTAAAGAGAATGCATGAGACGAAGGGACGTCATAAATTTGAGCCAAGGTACAGAGGACCATATGAGGTACTACAAAGGACAGGCGACACTGTCTATCTTTTGAAGGATTTGGAGACGGGGAGCTTAGATAAGATCCACATAGACAGAATGAAGACCTATCACGCCCCGGTAAAGACTTACCCTACAGGGGACGAAAACGTACAAGAACAAATAGGTGGTGTCATAGATGATGAAGATCACTGGGTCCACCCAATATATCCTATATATTCCCATAGAATTGTAGAACCAGAGGGACCACGAGAGACAATAATCTTAGGGAACTCGCTAGAGATAGTGAATAGAAACATTGGTGGCAATGTTGGCGGCGCTGAAGTACGCCGTTCGACCAGGGTCAAGAAGCCCACCGAGTGCAGATCTTGTTCAGGTTGCCAATGATTTAACCTATAGGAGGCTATTCTGTATTGATAGCAAATTGTGAATTAAGTTGTGAGTTAAATAGTATATTTTGTTTCGATCTTTTTATTGCATGTTTTTGAACAGAGGTTCAACCTTAAGAATAATTAAGGGACTTAGACGCACTAGATAATTGCTGTGCTTGTAACACATTCGCTACGGGTTGATTCGGAATATGCGCTGGGTTAAAACTAAACACCCTATAACTCCATAGGTCCAGAATACAGTCCAAAGAGAATTTCTAATGAGAGTGTGTAAGGCAATTACAGTCTAAGAATTGATATGATAGAGCAACAAGTAACCTCTGTTGTTAAACTCCAGAACGAGCTGGGTACCAAAAGCCCTATAAGTACAAAGAAAGAGTTTAGCTGAATAGCAGAGAAAGAAGAAGCGTTGGCAAAAACACTTGTAGACCTATCATATATTTGGCAATGAGGTAAATGCTTGAAGTTCAGTTCGCTCCATTTAAGTGCTAGTTTTGATGATTCGTTTGTTTAGACACCAAGTGTCAAGATAAGAGGATTTTTCAAACTGTGATACACACGGTTAAGGTGTTAGGTTAGATTTCAGATTTGATTGTTGACAATCAACATAGTTTGATTTATTTATCTGTTCAATCATAAATAATGTTTATCTATGAGTATATAATTTATATAGAGTTTGTATGAGGCATTAATTTAAGTTAATAGGGCATTAGTTCCCACTTTGTTTTAATTAGAAAACTTTATTTGATTTCACATTAGTCCTGGAATTTAGAAATTGTTAGGGTTTATTTGATAGAGATTATTGAGTGTTTTGGCGTCTATAGCAGTTTTTAACTTTAGAACGAATGCCCACAGTGACTGAATTTTTTTTTTTGTGTATGAATGTGAAGTGGAATAAATGATGAGAAGGTTAAAAACTAGTATACTGTTAGACCAAAATTACTTTAGAGTAGTGTTAGGGAATTTAATAGGTTCAATTTTCAATTTTGATTTCTTTATTTGTTAGGAACGATAGCCTCACAGGGCTGTACAACTCTATTGTTAGGAAAGGTATTCGCTCCATTTTGTTAGGTCTCCCCTTACGGGAGTATAAAAATTTAATTTCTATTACTAGGGTAATCAAGTTCTCTTTGTTATTTATATCATCTTGAATTTTAAGAGTCGTAGATAATGATCATATCTCGATTCTCAGACTGGAAGGTTGTGGGAGGTTATGATCAGACCAGAAAAACCCACCAAACTTCTCCTCATTAGAGGGAACGGAGAGGTATCAGGTGAACTTTGTGCTAGGTTGGGGGATTCAGTTGCCGACGTCGCAGACTAAGTGTAAAGCGACGAAAACCTCGGGTAACCGATCTGACATCGTAATTTACGACGCTTTGAGCGTGACTGAGATGAGGGTGGTTCAGACGGGAGGTTGAGAAGGTTCGGCGCGTTGGAGCTCCTCTATAATTGCGCAGCTTGGAACCAATCTCCTATAGACAGAAACTTCGAAACATGTGCTGGGTAAGCAATCCCTATAACTCCTTGATTTTAAGTCATAGTCTAAAGGAGGTTTCTAATGAGAGTTAACAATGAGGGAGCGTGAAAGAGACAAATTACGGTTAAACGAGGCGATTCCGTCTACAGATTTTTAGGTACCAGATAGCAAAGTGACAGATGGACTGTCCGGATTCTTTGCGTTTTATATCGCCCCAGGCTAGCAAGAGTTATTCACTTAATTAAAGACTATAGTCTGCCATACGTTTAGTTAGAAGAATTTAAGTCTAAACATCAATTAATATGTAGAATTTTTTTTTTTACGAGAGCAACTCATTATAAGATAAGTTTTTTTTTATTAGTAGGGCACCAAAATGAACTTTTGAAGCAGATTGCCAGAACAAGCCAATATAGCGGTCCAGATTTGAAGAGGAATTATTATTATTATTTTTTTTTTTTTGGGGAAGATCGAATATAAATTTTTTTTTGTTTTGACGGTAAAATGGCCTAGAGCAATGGGTTATTTTGTTTTACAAGATTTGTTTTCCAGAGAGGTACCAAGAACTCAGGTGGGAGGATATATATCACAAGATATGAGTTAGACCTAGTTTCTATTCATCATAATTTATTTCAGGGTTAGTTTGAGTATTTTATTAAAGGGATTTGTTGGTCAAAATTTATGTGTACACATTCTATGGATAAGCTAAACAATGTATAGTAGGGGTTAACTACATGTTAAAATAAAGGACAAAGGTGGGAGAAAGATTTCAACCACAGGTAATGTAATTTGGAAGTAATCTGATAATGAGATGTTTTCTTTTGTATTAAGAGAGGCAGGGGACACGCCAGACAAACACTCCCAGTGACAAGGCTAGTAAGTACAAGTTTTATCTTTGTTAGATATTACACGAGTTTTTTTTTTTTTTTTTTTGAGATACTGGTGAGATGACCTGAATCCCTCAGTGCATATCTATTCGTTTTATTATTTTATACCATATACCATATATTATTTTTTATCATTATATCCATGTATATTTGTATATATAGAAAGCACGATTCATATCATAGATATGTGTGACATTTTGGTAGCAGCGTTGTTACCATCTTCGGACAAATGTACCGAATGAAGATTTTAATCACAATTTATATATTCATTAATATTCATTATATATATATATCAAACCATTCCTTTTTTTATAGTAAATATCCATTTTAATATTTTTTATTTTTATATAACATCGCATATATCCACATTGTTCCATTTTTTGCATACATCGTATCCGTGCAACTCTAATATGTATATTTTTTTTACGTTTCTGTTTTACCCTATTATTTTTAATGTCATCGATAGGAGCTGCAACTTTAGATTTTTTTTCTTACTATCATTGTCATTTTGAACATGTATAGCCATTCCTTTGCTGCCATATGTTTCATATAGAATTAATAAAGTTTTTTTTTTAGATGTGTTTTAGGAATTGGGCATATCTACCATACAAACACAATTCCTTGGCGCCCATAATTATTATGTTAACCCGAATGGCATAAGAATCTGTTTGCACAGAATCTGTGTATAGACCACCCCATCTCCACCCACTGGGACTGCGGTCGGGGATGTGTGGATTCGACTCACATCTGGGTCAAGACTCCCTGGAATACAGACAGCAAAAGGATGGGCTTAGTACATTGCCCATAGAATGGTAGGATAGAACTTCCTTCCGTAATCACGATGAATTAACCTGCCCCAGGTTCCAGGGCCCGTCTGTTTCCCCTTTGCCGGAGTGTCAGTGATTGCATAGTGGTATTGTAAAAGAATGCATTTCTCCCAATTTCATATTTTCTCATGGAATATTTGATCAGATATGAATTGAAATAAACTCATTCTTTCACTCTGGCAGGGGAGGAATTGTTGGGTCACATTTCACCAAACAGACCCAACAAAGATGTAAACATTCTTTTACATCCTATGTACATACACGCAGTGTCTCGCCGAAAGTGTTTGGTGTACAGATGGATGTCCCACGGCAATGGCCGACGGTGGTTCAAAGACCAAGCCGGGGGGGGGGGGGGGAGACGCAGCCCTGGACGTGAATACTAAGATATATCAAGGGAAGGCACAGCCCTGGACGCGATTCCAAGATCTACTGGAGGAGGATGATATCGGCCCCTGATTAAGTAGTCAGAAGCCCGACGAAAACAGAAGCAGGAGTCCAACCACAACATAAGCAGAAAGCTGACGACAGTGGAGAAGCCACCTCAACAAGAAGAAACGGACATCGAGCATGCGCCTTTGTAAAACCTCCCTTTTAATTATTGTATATATATGACCTGTGACATCACATTTTGATAGATGGGGACCATTTATTAATATTCTTGGGATTTCTTAAAGAAGAAATTAGCATATAAGTCTCTCAGAGGGGTAGCATCCTAAAATTGGATTTTAATTCCATTGTTAATTTAAATTTATCTCTCAATAAGACAGATAAATTCTGAATTTTGGTTAATATTTAGTTTAAATTGATCTTTCATAAGCCGAGTAAGAATATTTCTAATTCATAATTTTCTTTAAAAATAAAAATTTAATAAAATACTATTTTCTCTCAATAAGACAGATAAATTCTGAATTTTGGTTAATATTTATGCTAAATTGATCTTTCATAAGCCGAGTAAGAATATTTCTAATTCATAATTTTTTTTCTAATAAAATATTATTTTTATTCCTTAAATTTTAACTATAATAATATTATTTTTTCTATTTAATATTTCGAGAATTTAGTATATTCAAGATTTATTATTCTGTGGGAGTTTGGGATTGAGGGCGCTGAAGAAAAGGGATAGGGGCTAGATTTTTTGGGGGGGCTGGACCAAGGACCAGTCAGTATTGAGCAAGCTTTCGAAAGGGGCACATCAGAGATCTCTCATCGGGAGATAGGTATGTAGTCGAGAATTTTTTAGGTAAGTTTTTTTTTAATATAGATTTTTGTTGTAAGATCTATATAGAAACATGACGAAGTCATGATAGATATAAAGGATTTTTTTTTTTTGCCTAATCAAGACGTCTTGTCATTTATGGCGAGTTCATATTGAGAGAGGGACTTATCCATGCTTTAATAGATAAATTATATCTTGCCCAAGCAAGATCACCTTTGAAATGAGGCGTTATAGATTTATATTATATTAAATAAAAATCATAGCAGTACAAGATTCAGATAGACCATATAATTTCAGATATGTCCTTTTTGTATTTAGGAATTTAGGGTATTAAACCTGTTAAGAATATTGGATTTTCTATATTTTTACCTAATTATGTCATGTCATAGTAAATACAATTTGTTTTATATATATTTTTTGAAATCCCTTTCTTTGTCGAATAAAGTTGATGCGGTAAATTATATAATGTGTACTAATGTCTATATCAAACCACATATCACACATAAACCTTGGTGCGTATGTTATAGATATTGAGTGTATTATAAGAGGTTCATTGCCTTACCATAAACTGTGAATATGTATACACCTGGATTTTTTTTCTTTAGTTAGATGAGATCAAGATACAGATGTCTTTACAATCGATGCTCAATTACAAGACACATGTAAATCCGAGTGTATACAATATTTACCGTATATGATGTAATGTAAGAGCGTATCTTACGTCCCAAAATTTATCTTGGAACAAACTACATATTTTGATTATTAATATGGATCTTTGTGTTCGTCGTACCATATCGAGTGTACATCTGAGTGTAAATTTGGTTATTGCACATGTTGATATAAGCATTTGGCGAGTGTTACATTTGCATGTCTAAGTCAAAGGATGGAATTTAGTCATCTAGATGTAGGAGTGAGTCTTACATTGATACTCAACTATAGGTCACATGTAAATCTGGGCGTGTACTATATTCATCGTATGTATATAAATATATATAGATTTATATTTCTAAAAGGTAATGTAAGAGGAATCCTACACAAGTTCACAAGAGAAATGTGAAACCTGTATCAAAGGAAAAAGCATAAGAAGATCATTTGAGAAAACCTGGAAAACAACTAAGGAAATTGGAGAACTGATACATTCAGACTTATCAGGACCAATTGATCCACCAACATATGATGGAGAAATATATTTTCAGGTACTAATAGATGACTACTCACACTTTGTAGTAGTGAGACTTCTCAAATCAAAAAGTGAAGCAGAACAAAACATAATTGATTTTATCAAGTTGATAAAAACTCAACATAACAAGAAAACAAGAAAAATTAGAGTAGATAATGGTAAGGAATTTTCATCTGGAAACTTCAAGCAGTTTTGCAGAACAAAAGGAATTCAAATAGAATATACCTCACCTTACACACCACAACAAAATGGCACTTCTGAAAGAATGAACCGAACATTGATTGATAAAGTGAGAACAAAGTTGGCAGAAACAAATCTACCAAAATATCTCTGGGGAGAAGCCATTTACTGCTCAGCATACGAATTAAACAGAAGTCCAACAAGTGCGAACAAAGGAATACCTCCGGCTAGCATATGGTATAAACAAAATGACCTATCCAAACTTAAGGTTTTTGGCTCAAGAGCTTGGAGACTAATTCTACCCAAACCAAGAAAACTAGATGCTAGAACAAAATCAACAATCATGGTTGGATACAGTGGAAGCGGATATCGCATCTGGGATCCGGAAACTGATAAAGTAATGATTTCAACAGATGTAACATTTGATGAAACATTAACTAAATTTGATAAAGAAATCATCTCAGACCAAACAGAACCTAAAGGAATAATAACTGAATCTCAAGATGAGGAAGAAAACCCACAAACATCAGAACAATCAGACAAAGAAGAAAGTGTAACTACAAGATCGGGTCGAATAATCAAACCACCAAAGTATCAAGAAGATTATGAACTATATTCAGTATATTGCTTGTTTACAAATGGTGAAGATCCAATTTCTTACAATCAAGCAATTAAGCAAAAAGAATGGAAAGAGGCTATTGATAAAGAAATTCAATCTCATGAAGAATTGAAAACATGGTCTTCAATAAAATTAGGAGAAAAATCAAATATCAAACCAATTGATACAAAAATGATTTATTGGCCAAAGACATAATCAAAATAGATTACATTGAGGGATGCAGAAACATAGCAGACATGTTAACTAAACCCTTATGTAAGGACATGTTGAACAAATTCATGAAACTTTCCAACATGGGGTGAAAATTGTGCAATTGATATTTGTGAAAATGCCAATTGAGGGGGGGGTGTTAAAATAAATGTGTTTCAGCAACCCTGGCAGTACAGAACAAAGGAATGAGTATTAGCCCTAATGTTTACCTTTTAGTAAGTTGTAAATAATTCTCTAATTAATATGTTTGTTTCCTTTTAAAGATAATAAAATAAGATATTATCTTAATTTGTAGTATATTTATGTGTTAAATAAACTACAAAATAACAGAAAACACATACATTATCTACAGAGGTATCCAAAACTCTACTAAATTCCTGGAGGCCACAGCATCAATGAAGGAGCATGCTAGCGTGAATAGATATGAAAAATCCCAAACCTTATTTTCTATTTTAACCTTTTTTTAAAAAATATAATCCCAGTCAACTCAATTTGCTTCTATTTTTTCATTTCCTTACGTTTCGTTTAAAATATATTATACTAGCGGATGTACCCGGCTTCGCCTAGGTTTTTCTCGAGGAAATGTTTGTAGTCTAGTAATAAGAAAATATACGTACACCTAAACACTATCAGAGAAAAGAGAAACCACGGAAGGTGAACAGAAAAATGCTTACAATGGATGTATATGTTGCGTTCCCGGTTTGGATAGATGAAAAGGGAGGATACACGATGTGACTTATTAAAGTTTCCTTACTTAAGTATATATATATATAGCAATTTAGGCCAACAACCCCATGTATATAACCCGCAGCAAGACCTTAATGTTGTATAATAGAAGCACAGCTGTCAATGATGCACTATCGACATAT